CATATTTATACACTACTCTTTTCTCATTCATCGTATTGCGAAATGTTTTCCCAAATACAGATGACAAAGTATGTCCTGCCTTGAAACCAAAGGTTACCACTTTCATTGGATGTTAAATATATCTTTTTGAGTACCGTGAATAATGGCAAATATATCATCAACATATCTTAAATAAATATCAGGTTTATTACCCCGGTATTTCTCAATTTCATTTTCAAGTTCATTCATAAACAGATTAGCCATTATAGGTGCCAACGGGCTACCCATAGAAACTCCGTTGGTTTGATCATAATCTTTCCCATCAAACGTGAAATTAGTTCTTTTTGTACAATAATAAAATAACTCGCGCAAATCGTTATCATTTATTTACCAAGTTGAATGATACTGTCTTATCTTTTTAATGGCAATATCAATTGACTTTTCTAATGGAACATTTGTAAATAGAGACGAAACATCAAGTGCGAACATAAGATCTGACTCATCCTTATTAGCATGAATTTTATCAACGAAATTAAAAGAATCATTAATAAACGAGTGCCCTTCTTTCATTGCTGGAGACAATAAATCAGCAATGTATTTCGCCGTTTTATAATTATAAGCATCATAACTTGAGATAATAGGCCGAACAGGCTGGTTTTTCTTATGTACTTTGACAAGGAAATAGAGACGAAACATCAAGTGAGAACATAAGACCTACATCCAGTGAAAGTGGTGACCTTTGGTTTCAAGGCAGGACATACTTTGTCATCTGTATTTGGGAAAACATTTCGCAATACGATAAATGAGAAAAGAGTAGTGTATAAATATGACTGTTCTGACTGCACAAACAGTTATATTGGACAAACAGCAAGAGGTGAAAAGCGAAAACAAGAACATAAAGATGTTTTTCAAGGTACTGGATACTCAAGGATTCCCAATCATAGTTTAGTTACTGACCATAGAACAAACTGGAACAGTGAAATTCTTGCGTTTGAATCTCATGCAAGAAAAAGAGAGATAAAAGAAAGTTTACTAATGGATATACACAGGAGAAAGAAAATTAGGAATATTTATTCTCAATGTTTTCTAATGACACATCGGGTCATGTAGGACAGATATTGGACTAGTTTATATTTTTATTATTTTTCTTTTGTGTTCTAGACATGTGCTTCTTCTTTTTCTTTTATGCCTAAAAGGAGATGATAAATGTTTTTGCCATCATATGACTGATGATGTTTTTTGAATAAAGACGAAACTAGTCTCAAGTAAAATCGTAACTTCATTATGTATAAGGTGGTGTTTGTCTTATTATCTATTATCAAAAATATATAGGTATGTAAAAAAAAGTAAATATGATTCTCTTAATTTTTGTTTTGATTTTTCTGCCTAATAATCAAGTACGATCCATATGCTTATATTTTAATAAAACCATTTGACATATATTCTGTATCGTTGAATAAATGGAATACAGATCTGTATAGGAAGTCTGCGTATGTCATATCTTTCTTTGATAGAAATTCGAATTTTAAGAGAATAGACCTTTCGCGTAAGAATGAATCATTGTTTTTCGTTGTTGATGATTTGATCATGTTGATAAAGGTTATAACAAAATATCTCTGTCGAAAACATCTGTCGTTTTGATTTCTTCCTTCTTTTCTGTGAAAAATGAAAATAACTATATCTTTCAATTTTTATTTCCATAACAATACATAAAAGGAAAATATGACTTGTACAAATATAATATTGACGACGTTCGCCAGTAGCGCACTCTAGATACTATACGCCTCTTTATATTTTTCTCTATTGGTTCTTCAATCTTTCTCCATGTTTTTCCGTTATGTATAAGTCTGTTGGATTGTATACATATGTTTTTCTTTTGTTTTTAGTGAAAATAATGACTAACACAGATTAAAAGATCACGTGTTGCATGTCCGATTTTTATTACTGAATACGTTTCAAGAAAAAAAATATAGTAGAACTTCTTTAATATGAGCATTGTTGAAACTGAGAAGAAGTACTCAGTTAATGGCGGTGTTCATTATTGGAAGGCTTTTATTATTTTTTCTTTTCAAATGATAATTATTTGGCCCTTCTGCAGTTTAGTCACACTGTTCCATTGATTATATGTATTGCCTTAAAAATTCTGTGACCATTACGGTGCTAAAACGGCAGAGAAGCTACAATATCCGCAAGATCCAAAAAAGAAGTAAAAGAATGAAAAAGAAATATAACAAAAAAAGAACGGATTAAAAACGATTGTACTATCCCATTACTAGAAAGCCTTTGGAAATAGTCTAAAACTTTCTAGATCATTTTCATCAAGTAACACCACAGAGTCTTGTGTATCATGTGATGACATCCATCTTGTCGCTAAACTTAAGATATCCCAAAGTGGAAGAAAACGTTTAGATCTACGAAGACAATGAATTCTTGACCTTCCTCCTTCCCATCGAATTCTATGAGCATTGAGGAAAAGTTGTTCTACGAGCAAGTAACCATCACATGATTTTGTCAAAGCTTTGCAATATGTTATCCAGTATCAATAGCAAATATCGTTGAGTGAACGCTCACTATAAATCGATGAGAAAAACAGGTCTTCCCAGCAAAGACATTGATAGATCCGTTTAAGTGACGTATAATAACAATGAATAAGATCAGAATGTTGTGATTCAGTGAATAGAGGGTATAGTGCCGCTATCCAAGTACCGTTCCATTGATTGGTACACTGCATACAGCAATCAGAGTGAGATGAGGGCAAAAGTATGACTAAATCGCAGTAGTGCCAAATAGTGTTGTCGACATTTCAAAATATTATTTAGAATATTTCTTGATGTTTGATATATGACTACTAAATTTCTTTATACTTAAAGAACGTTTAGAATCTTTTTCTTAATTCAATTTTTTTTATTAAAGATAAATAACTATGTTTTAGCATGATTTAATACAGCTAAATTGTTAGCACAAAATGATGAGATCTTTCATCAATGACTTGCGTGTTGTCAAAGAATTTCTCTTTTCGATACAAGCGGTTAGTCTCTTTCATTCTTGCACGTTACTTGATTGTTTATTATGATGCAATACACTTAATAGAATTTGTATTTCCTTCTTTACATTAGTGGTGAAACACACGTTACTCATATTATAGAGATTTTTGTTATTCATAGGACTGAAAAAAATGCTCGCTGTTCTGAATAACGAGATGTTTATAATCAAGAGACTTATTTTCAGCGAAATTCTCTCGGTCGGACTACGAACCGTTCAGTATAAGAAGATGTTCATAATCGAACGATGCTCATAAATAGAGGTTTTACTATATACCAAAAGATGAAGCATAAATAACTCCACAGCCTATAGAGTACAGTTTATTTTAACTATGTATTTTTCTGTTTAAAAAACCGACGTTCAGTATAGTTGAGTTCTGATGCTGTCAAAAGTAGTGAAAAAGAATCTAAAATTAAAATAAGCTTTATTTTGTAGTTTGTAGAATTATTAAAGCTGCATCTTTGGTTCAGCAGGTTCGTAGTCAGACGGGGTGCAGAGTGCACATGCATTCCCTTTAGTCGAAAAAGACTTGGAGGGACTCAAGTAAAAAAGCGTTTTTTCTGACAAAAAATATTTTCCTACTATTGCGCATCCTCCTTAGAAAATTCCCGGCTATGAGCCTGTTTAACGCATTGTAGAGCTTCTTGTTTTGCATCGTTTCGTATATTTCATTTGGTTTCTTAATACAGCCTATCAAGAATTTGAAAAATGATATAGAAAACACCATCATTTAATCTGCCTTGCGCGCTAAAAATAAACAAAAGCGTATCGGAACTGACTAACAGATGATGCGTTATGTTCTTTTTTTTAAGCTAAAATATCATCAATAGACACCTAAATCATGGCAAATGCTGTTACTCTTTTTAATCCTGGTGATCGATCACCACGTATAGAATGGGCATGGAAGTCAAATGTTGATCCATGGTTAACAACTGAACCAAATCAATGGAATTCATATTCAGATATTGAAGCGGACATTATTGAGCGAGCTTATCAGAAAGGACTACCAGAGGTCGTGCTCGATGACTATCACATTGTGTTCAAAGAGTTCGTGCAAATCTCCAATAGTAGTGAACATCAGCAACGACCAGTAAAACGAATCGTTCACGAACGAGATCAAGAGCCTAGATTGAGAAAAGAACGTTTCTTGGCCGAGCCGATTGTACCAAACATTTGTTTTTCAAAAAATCCACGATGCACACCTTTTTTTGAAGAATTTCATGAAAAATTCCCCAATCTTGACGACCCAATATTTAACGATTCTAAACGACAAAAATTAGTACTGAAAGCAGCCGATGGTCTCATTGAAGAAGGAAAGAAATTGGGAAAACAGAAAGAAGGCGAATACATGGCAGAATTACTTCATATGGTCGAGGACGGAACAGTTGATCAAGTGTACGCATGTTGTGCATATCTATATTGCAAAGAATCTTTTCTTTACAAGAAACTCAATGAATGCATGCGTCTGGTAGTTGATCCTGATCACTATCAAGTGTGGCGTAGTAAAGTATCGACTTTTGGTCCATTTGCTCAGCTCCTATACGTTCTGAAATTCGATACCGATCAAGAAGCTCCTTTTTATGACATAGAGCAGGAAGCTTCGGTTTTCAACGACAATCAGAAAACTCCTCTTTTCGAGACCAAACAGGAAACTCCTCTTACGGTATATCGAGGAACAAATCTACCACCTGTTACCATTGAACAGTTTCAATCGACTAAAGATAAAATTCAATTTACGGCATTCACTTCAACAAGTCGAAGTCGATCGAAAGCGGAACACTGTGGTGGTAATGTTCTCTTCATCATTGATGTTGCCGAAGAAGATGGACGAGATGTATCGTCATATTCAGGCTACGATGAAGAAGAGCACCTACTTCATCCTGGTTTCTTCTGTTTTGTCAAGTCGTGTATCCCGTCTCAAAACGCTGCAAAATGGGAAATACATCTTCGAAGTACCTCTTTATGAAAATAAATGATTTAATCAAATGCCAGAAAAATTTACTGTTCAATATTACAAAGGAGTTGGCGCTTTTTCCATAGGCTAGACACCCTCTCTTATTTTCTTTTGTTTACCAATTGTTGTTCGGGTGAATAGTGCCAGAATATAAAATCACTTCATCAAGTGTCGGATGTGTCCTTTTAGCGAACAAATCAATACTTTTAGCTGAGGATCACTGTCTAGAAATAGTATTATACAAGATGGATTACAAGTTATCAGGAAGTTTTTTGTTACCAATAACTTTTGAGAGAAGCAAGATAGAGAGCTGCAGTTTTTGCCATTAGCTAGAGAGATCTCTAAGGCGTCGATCTGTACAAGATTCATTAGTTTTGAAGAAGATTTCAATATGTGTCTTCAAACAAATATCGTTTGCATTATATATTTTCATTGATTCTCATGGTAATCTTAGCTGAACTTATACTTAAGTAGAGCTGAAGAATACCTTTTTAGCGGCAAAACACTGAGACTTTCAAATTAATACGCTCAACGTGTGAGCGTGAGAGGCTCCTAGAAAAATGTGAAGATTTTACCACTAAAAAGATATTCTTCGGCTGTACTTAAGTAAGACGCAGGCAATGCGAAATTCAAGTAAAAATTCTTTTTTGCCGTTTTTTCTATATCATTTGATAGAGTGAGAGTTGCTGATCACGAAAAACAACTTTTTACCTTACACAAATATCTTTTTCAGGTCGGAAAATACGAAAAAATCGAAGTATGTCGTATTTTTCAAGAAACACATTTTTTTTCAAAATACGCCTTATATTTCGGTTCGTGCTTTCTCTGAGTTTCTGAAAATATTTTTATCAGATTCAGCATCAAAAACTGAACCTAGAGGAGTTATTAAATCGGCCTAAGACCCCGACATCTTTTCACAGTGGCCCTCCAAATCACACCGAGTGTAATGCGCATAAGTCGTTTTTGTAAACGTATCTAGTTTTTTTACATAAGCGATGAAGTCAAATATTTTATCTCATTCAACTCAACGTACCATCAGCCACAAAACTCCGCATTCTTTTCTTTCCTTTGTTGAAAAAATTCGTTTTTACTAGTATCACAGACAAGGGGAAGGTCATTTTTCAATAAAATGCTTATTTTTTATTCAAATAAAGTGAAAATTTTTTTACATAGGCAAAAACTGATGATGAATCTAACAGGTATACTTTTGAGGTCTTTGGTGCAATCAAAAGGCAGGTTTTTTCAGTCAACTCTGCAAAACAACAATTCAATCTCATCGCAAAATAACAAATACAAACATAGATGAAGACTAATGGAAATATTTTTTTTTTTATTTGAACACTTTTATTCTGCATGTATGCGTTTATATCATCCAGTTGCCAATGAAATAGTTAGTGAAGCTCAAAACTGCCTTTTGTTCGACTGTTCTACAGAGATGGGGCCTGTGAAAACTCTCCTACGTCAGAATACGTTAAAAATTTCGGACACCCAGGTCGAAGTGGGTACGTCGGATCTTGTCGGACGGATTTTAAATCCGTTGTCAAATGGTTAATCAGATCCGGTCGATTACTTTTTACCGAATTCCGATGCTATCTACTGATCGAATCCATCGAGTTCCGACTAAATTCATACAAGCAGAACTGGTCAGATTCGATCTCAGGATCTGTTCACTTCGGATGTGATTCAGGTTAATCTAATGTCAAGAAATGGTCGGAATTTGTGATTTCACATGACACTGGATTTCATGATAAACTCGTTCAATCACTGGTATCGAAACCTGTCGGATTATATAGAAATACAGGAGTTCCATTGATCGGGTTTTTTCATGTCGGATAGCATAGATCCGACAGGAGTCAGTTACTAGTGCGTATCGATAATAATCAGAAAAAATATGTACGCGATTCAGCGAAACGGCTAGCGTTCTGTAGAAGAAATAATACTCGATAGTTGGATTGAGAACTCAGTCCGCTATGTTTTATTGAGCAAAATCGAATTGAATGGATGATATGGTAATATTTGTATCAACGATGATAGCAATTGTCAAATGGAATTAACTACAAATAGCTGCCGTATATTGCGATAATAGTTGCTTCAGTATTAAACAACCTGGGTGAGGCGAAAAAGGTAGTGTTTAAAATTAATTAAACTTTTGTGCAATGATGAAGGGGAACAAACTGATTTCTTGATTTCATAACCTGTCATGATTTCTGATGGTTTCTATTAATTTCACTTTGTCTTATTTCAGCAGAGACTATTTTGCTCCCCTTGACAATCGTACTGTCTTCATATGAAAAAAAAAAGTCAAAAACAATTATTGAATTATCATTTGTTATTAGAAATCGATCTTAGTTGTATAATCTTAATCATTGGTTAAAATAGAATAAGAGCTATTAAAATCAAAATGAAATTCATCGTTAATCTTAAGAAATCAGATTAAAATCAGATCAAAACAATGCCTTTTCAACTGATTAAAAATCGATTTTTAATGAATTTTTAATTAAGTAGTTGATTTTAATATGAGATCTATCAACTAATTAGTTAATCAATTAGATATTTCCATTTTTTAGAAATTGCCGAAAAAAGAATTAAAAATCTGGAAATCCGATTTTGTCCAGATTTCATTCACCGTTTTGTTCGGCAGATATCAATCTACATAAAGAAGTTTCTCCTTTAATATCTGAACTATATTTTAAAATTTTCTTTAATTAAGTTCCATTTACTATGAATGATCCTAGAAGACGTATTGCGCGATACTAGGAATAATCCTAGTATATATATTGCGCGATTTTAGGAAAGACCGCAGTATATACATTGCGCCATTCTACGAATAAACGCAGCTAAAGCAGTAGAAATCTTTTAAAATCTTGATAAAGTGATTGTAAAACCTTAAAAAATTTTTCATGAAAATCGGATGAAATTCTGAGAAATCCTGATGAAAGATTTGTGAAATCTTGGTTAAATTCTCATGAAATCGAAACAAATTTAATCGATTTCCGATGAAATCCGACACCATTATGTCAGAACCTTACGCTATCAAATGTTTCTCTATCAATGGATCCTGGCGATTAGGGCAATATCTGAGAAGCGTATACGCCAGGAATCGACCGGATCTTTTCCGACGTAATCCGAGTCGGAATCCGTTCGCTAGGAGGTCGGTGAAAGTTGGTTCGATTCCGATCGGTTTTTACTGGGAATCCGGCGATTTCCGGAGCAATCCGATAGTTTCGCGTAGGATCTTCAGGTCGGTCGGATTGAATTACCTGGGTAAAATACCTTTACGTGCTTATTTGTACAAGGATCAAAGACAAGCAATGAACTGTCATCAAAACTAAGTATAAAGTTTGATTAGAGGTTTTCGATATCGAGGAATCGATCGCCAATAGGAAGTAAGGTGCAGGAAATTCAAAACTGAAGCAATTTTCTTTTCAATATATTCAAACAAGTTTTTTGTTAAAAAGTATCAGAAAATTAAGATAAAAAAAAACGAGCAAAGTCTACAAAAACCCAAACACGAAAAATGTATCGTGTTGCTAGTTTCAATATTTATTTGATTCTATTTGTCCTATGACTGTGGAAAAAGCTATGTATCCTTTTTAAAAAATATATAGTTGTTGAGAAACGCCGTTTTTTTCATACGATAACAAAAATATTGTAGATGTGAGTTCGTACTCAGAGATTTTTACCATCCAAATCCCATTTTAAAATAAAATGAATATCGTATTCGCAATCGGTATAAAAATCTTCATCAAATAACATACACAATAGTTAAATCTAATTTTCGTCAAATTTCGACTCCTACTCATCCGTAATGCTTTTTTCGAATTATCTGTCCTGTGGTTCTCCTCAGATGGAAATATTCCAGATATTTATTTTAAGTATTCAGTATGTTATTTGATGCAGACTTTTCTACTGATTGTGAATACGATATTGATTTTATTTTAAAATGGAGTTTTGATGGTAAAAATCTCTGCGTACGAACTCATATTTACACTATTTTGTTATTGTATGAAAAACAGCATTTCTCACCAACTATACAATATTTTTCAAAAAGGACATGTAACTTTTTCTCCACTCATAAGACGAATAAATCCAAAAAGAAAATTCAGATAGATATTAAGACTAGCAAGACTTGATACATTTTTCGTACTTGGGTTTTTGCAGGATTTTCTCGTTCTTTTTATCCTAATTTCCTGATGTTTTTTTGACAAAAAACTTGTTTGAATATATTAAAAACAACGTTGTTCCTTGTGACTCAACGAGTTTTATCCGATCATATCAAAGAATCTCCAAAAAACTATTGCTTCAGTTTTGAATTTCCTGCACCTTAACGATTATATATAAAGTTTCATGAAAGGTCTTTGAAGACAGGAATTCGATTGACATCATTAGCTTTTTACAAATTTTTGAAATGATTTTTTTTACTAACAATGGAACGGTCTCTACTGATGAGCGAATCGGACGACCGTGTGGAGTGCAAATGATCACACTTATTGAGAAACTAACAAATTTAAAATATGAGCTGCTGATGGCTTACTTTGACAGAGAAAATCA